CGTGTGTTGTTGACTGCATCAGAGAGTGGTATCCATCATCTACAGGGCGTTACATGGGGTTTAGATCAGAATAATTATTATTTACAATTAAAATCAATATAAATGAAGTTGTGAATATTATTATTATTATTATGATTGTTCTGTGAAACGACTTTTTTTAGCCTTTACAAGCTCACTAGTTGATGGTGGTTTTCGCTTAGACAAGGTTGCTGATATCTTCTCCGGATGATTATATCTCTTGATAACAGTACTTCGTATACTAGCATCGCAATCTGCTCTATACTTGTAAAGAGTATCAATCAAAATAGGCATGTAGTCATATGATTTCTATTCAAAGACTGGAACAACATCCCATCTATTTGTGCGCTTTCTAAAAACCCGATGATTTCGCTCTTCACCTGATACATTTCGGGATGGATTTCTACCCAAGTGAAAGTTGTGATCAATGGCAGCCAAATACATTCTGGCACGAAATGCCTCATCTCTATAAAGAGTAACCATTTTATTAGAAGCTAACTATGGTTGCTAATACAATCTTACTTAAATGCAATTCTTTTAGGACAGTAAGCTAACATGAGACTGTGGAAACACTCAAGATTGCCAGTATGCCTAAAGCAAACAAAATATTTGAAAATAAATAACTCATTTTACCTAAATCGAACATAAAATTTAAGCGACTTTAACCATTTCTGATCTAAAACAATCTGACGTAGGGCCTCCATGGCTGGCTCATTGGGTAAAAAGTATGGTATCACTGTACCATCACAGTCAGTGGGGGGTTCTGTAGAAGTATCCGTCCCATCATTTAAAATGTGGTCACATTTCCCAAGTATCCATACATGCTCATTTTGAACATGATGTAAAACACTAATTCACATCGACTACATAAAGAAAAGTAAAAGTATTGCCACATTTAAATATTGTAATACCTCTAACTTCTCTACATCACCATTACATTCTTTACAACAATACCAGAAGTGATTACAAATTTGATCCGACCACATCTTAATCTTTTCATATCCTTTCTTTTTTCCAGCCTACATTTTGTAATGTTTATTAAAATTCATCTACATTGTACATGTATTATAGCTATACCTGTGATAGACTTTTCTTTAGTTTCTTTGCCTTGTGCCAAACGTCCAGTGAATGCACTATACTTGGATATTTATCACCTGTACATGAACACAACACATTAATAATTTTGTAAATATATACATGTAATTATACTTACGCATCATTGCAATTACAGTTATTGAAGCATCAGTTGTTAGTTCTTTTACTTTCATGGTACTATTAGCAGCAATGTTGTCTAAGCATCTCTTCAGTCCTTCACACTCCATTAAAGGAGATTTAAAATTCACCTCCCTTTTATCCACTGTCTGCAATTCAACTACTTCTCCAGTCTCAGACATCATGCTATATGTACAAAATTTAGCTGATGAACCAGGTGAATCACATCGCCCATCTCCACTGGCTATTAGTTCCTTGTGTGCAAATCTGAATAAAATGAATAATGTAAGAAAATTGGCTATACTAACATACTTTTCTTTAATGCTAGTAATATGTTGTGTCCAAAACTTTTCAACAGTTGGTATTAGATAAAGCTTCTGGTAACGATAAAACATTGCTTCTGTGATACATGCAAGCCCCAGGATAGAACAAAATTGAGAAATCTTTGCATAATGATTGCCAGAGAAAAGTATACTAGCAGCAAACAGAAGATCATTCTCATTGATGGCGCTGTTCTTCTTGTCATAATGGGGATCAGAAGATGACCACTGAGTGACATGGCCAGCTGTACATGTTGAAGTGACTTTCAAAGATGATCCAATCAACTTAGCTGTATTGTACAGTTTGTTGGAGCACTCCGCAATTGAACAGTGTGAAGGAAAAAGCTGTTTCAAATTTGCTATACTGACTATTATTCTTTTATGACGTATTTCATCTAAATTAGCATTGCTTTTAAATCATGCACACATGAGATGTCTTACCAAATTCTTGATCAACTGATGGATCTTCAGCTTGTATACCTGCACTTTGACAGCCAGGTTCAGTTTCAAACCTACATGTATACATTTTTCTGAAATAAATTATAAAAACATTTAACAGCACACCTTTCATCACAATCACTGTCAGCTGAGGAATCACAGTTAGTTTCAATTTCTGTATCGTAGTCAGCAACAGAGTCGTCATTGTCACAAATCACACTGTTTAATACAGTAAAAAGCACAATTAATAACAACATTACCTTAATGTCCTCTCATCATCACTACTTTCATCATCACTTTCACTGCTTTCATAATCATCACGTAGAGCCAATGTCTTAGAGAGGGAGCAACTAGTGACCTCAGCAGCTCTTACACTAAACATAAAGGTATCATTATAAATATCAGTAAAATTACATAGCTAGAGCTACCTAGTGCTGTCTTGACTAAATAAAGATCGAGAAGGTACTTTATGAATAGTATCATGGGATATAGGAGTAGAAGTTACAGGAGTAGAAGTAAGAGATTGGGGCAGTAGTGATTGCATAAATTCCGACCGTACATTGACTGGTGAGGAAAAGTGACCATCATACCTACAATTCATAAAACTCAATCCATCTAAATGAAGCTATCTTACGAAGTTTGAATGGATTTTTCTGCTAATTCCAGCAAGAAGTGACAAAAGTCTTGGTCACTGACCTTTCCTGTAGCTAATTTCAAAGTCTTCCACTTCTCCAAGTCATCTTTGAATATTCTTACTCTGGAGGTTGAGTCTGTAGAGTGTTTTTTTCCAGCATTTACCCTTGTGCCACCCCAAGACACGCGCTTTGGTGAAGAAACATCACGAACAAAAGCAGAAGCAGAAGTAAGACTGGATGCCATTTTACTAAAATAATGGGCGTGGTCATGCAGTCATAATTAATTATTCATAGTTAAATGTTATAATAGTGATGTCATCTTGAAAAACTGGCCAGTTTTTCAAGATGACGTGCTTCTGTGAACGTGTCCCTTTAAACACAGAAAGAGCATTGAAAGAATCAAAACTATGCACATAGGCGGCTTGCAGGGGCAGGCAATGAGGGCAATGCCCTACTAGAATTTTTTAACGGAAGATGACATCATCATAATTAGCAGTTAATTAATAGTTATTTCGTAGTTATTACATGATTAATTCATAATTATAGCTAATTTTAATGACAAAAACTACATTATTTTGCTCCACAGTGATAATTAGTAGAGAATAAGCTGCTAACTGCATAGTTTATTTACAGTAAGCCAGTCAGCCACTTCATAGGTCCATATCTATGGACACTTCAGGAAGACATAATCTACAGTAACCTGCAACTAGAATAACTGACTCCTTCATGTAGTAGCTTTATTGTTAATCATCATTGTCAGCTAAGACTCATTCAACAGCTAAATCACCTAGCTACAAATACCCTATATTGAAAGAGGTCTTTTAGGTGCTGAATTTTCTCCTCTTGAACATAAGAATGGCAGGGTAACTCTTCATTGAGTAGTTCAGAGCCTTTTTCAACTGGATTTTTCCCCAAAATGCTGAAATAGAAGCCATAACAGGCTTAAAATCAAGAGAAAAGCATGTGGGTGTAGTCATAGGCACACCTACTTTTTCACCACTCCCACATTTAGTTTCACTTTTGCCCTACTTGCAGTAAAATCCTGCAGCCGCCTGTGACTATGCAACATGCAAAATATACCTTAAATTGACCTACAATAGCTTCATGGCGATTGCTTCATAGCAATCATGATTGTGTAACCATTAACCAATTCAAATCAATTTCTACTAAAGTACTGCACATGAGTGTATTGTAAAACAAATTTCCATTGTCCATGAAGAGATTTCTGTATGGCTGGTACCCTAAACATTTAGTACAACAGAGTGGACCAGCAAGGCATACATGTGTACATTACTTTTTTAACAAAAATTATAACTGAAGTGGCTAACTAGCATGCTAAGAGCCAAAGACATACCGATGTGACATTATGACTGCTTTAACTTCTTTGTGTCCGAATGCTACATAAATTACTACAAGGAGGAAGTATTAATGCTTTAAGATTTTTTACTCTGTGTCTGTAATACAACCAACTCATAACATTGGTGCTGCCATGATGTTGTCATCTTCAAAGGTACATCACTGTAACAATGGTGTGTTGACAGTGACACTCCTTTAAGTAAAAATTCCGCTCTCCCTTTATGACAGTCAATGTGACTCATAAAACTATATAATATATTATGTTAAAACAGTAAAATTGTAACTGGTTTAAAAACATCACTAATGCAGCAAGAAGTGGACGGCAAATTGATTATAATTAGGCCATAAAATTTCTTACTTTTTTAACAAAATCCATTAGACAAACTACATAGTTTAGCAATAGACTTCTGTCTTCTGAGCCATTTAGTGTGCTGAAGTGCTTGTACCAAGCAAAAGTGCTTCAATTACATTGTTAAAATGCCAACTAATGTTTAAGTACAATTGCCATAATTATTGGTATGTACAATTGGCAAAGTATGATTGCATGCATCAAACTATTTGAATTGCGTCATTTAAGCAATACAATACATTTTGTCCTGGAATTTTTTTTAAGGAATCCCAACAATAATTACAGAATGGCTAAGTCTGCGAATGCTATTCTGAGTTATGTGAAGGTGAAGTCGAGCAAATCAATGGTGTTTGGTCTAGTTTTCTAAAATCTTAGTTATTTTGTAGTACAATTAAAACATTTACGGTAACTTGCTCCACCTATAGGTGGGGTCTCAAGGTGTTATACAATCCCGAACCCAATGTGACCACAATGGCCTTTTGAGTAACAATAAACATGCCAATATAACAAACCACTCCTATGTGAAGGTGCAGCATATCAAAGTTTAATAATTTATTTCCTATGATAGAA